ATTACCATCAGGTAAGACAGAATGTATTGTCTTTGGGAATATCACGGACAGGCCAATCATTTTATGTGAATAAACCTTAATGAAGACAAAATACTACCTGACAAGTTGCTCTGTGACAAGCCAACCTGCAAGCCTTAAAAATATCTTTCTTGAAGCAGAGTATAATACTGGCATTTTCAAATTAGAGAGAGGAAGTTTAAAAGCATGTTGCACAAGTGAAGGTACTGTCATTTCTTCTGATATGACAAATTACATACTTTGCAGAACTAATGACTGTCTAACAGTATCTGAACCATCAACAATTCCATTTTAAATTCTAGGAATCATGATGTGTATTCAATGATTGCTAAAATGTAAAATGTAGTTCCTGACAGTTTCAATAGTGTTAAAAAGGGGAAAGAGAGGAGGTTTAACGGCTATAAAAAGACCTGTGTGCATAAGTAGAATAAAAATGTATTTATAGCAGAATTAATTTTAATTTGCCAGTGAGTTTTTGGCCTCATGACGGTGCTCATGAAACTGAATTTGACCAATTTTTCCAGGAGTAGAGACTTCTAAAGTGTATGGGGTATAGCAATTGCCCATCCTACAATAGAAGTTATTTAACTGTGAATCATAGAAATACTGGCATTTTTTGGCAAACTAGTAGGAATATGCAGGACAAATGCTATCAAAGTTTTAAAACTGCATTGATACTTGCCATATAGCTATTATAAACTTCCCTTCAGGTCTGCAAAGTTTGCTATGGGTTCTCTCACTGGAGCTTTTTATTTCCACCATAGGTAAAGGTAATCAAGACAACGACTTATTACAACCATTTACTGTGCATACTGGGAACCAGAAGTGTTCAAGACCCTGATACCAGTAGTATTCAGCTTTGTAACTCATATGAGCCTGTTTGTGGAGGACTTTCTAATATAATATAAAGTAGACAGAGCTTCAGACACATGTAGAAAGTTGCAATTATGGAAAGAAATTATTTCATATTGTACTATGCTCTTCAGTTCAGAAACCTTTGCTTTCAAGTGGTATTTGGTCAGTTCAGATTATGTGGGGAGAAATACTTTACATTTAGTGAAAAGGCAAGGGAAGGGAAGGTGTTGATTCTTTTGCTAGATTCAGTAGGACTTAATTAGCTCAGTAACAGTTTTGAGACAGACATATGGATTTAAAAATAAAAACAAACCCCCACTGCCCTACTCAGGCAATCATGAGGGACTGGACTGATCAATGTTATAGGAAAAAAATAGCAAATGTATCTTTATTCGAGTTGTAAACAAAAATGTGCTTTCTGTTGCCTTTGAGGGATAAAATACTCAGGATTTTGATCATGACTAGAGAGTTCTTTCAACTGCAAAATTTGCAAATAATACGAAGACTATAAACTTAATCCTTTGGGTAACACCCTCAAGTTTTTCAAGGTAATGGCATTCTTGAACCTGCACAATGAGTATCGCTTAGGTCAGTTGATACTCTTCCTGTGTACACAGCTTTCTCTTTCCATGAACAATAGAAAAGCACAGATAGGAGCTGAATATCTTAGTGTGGTCTAGGATTTTCACATGCAAAAAGAGGTCTGAGGCAGGCTGTGTCTCTGTGAAGAAGACAGTGATTCAGGGGTGAGTGGCATGAGAGGATAATGAAGCTCGTAGCTACATCAAGCATCAAGGACTGTAAGGCATAAAAGATAATACAGATAATGTTTGGATTTTTTCTGTTTATCTGTAGTTTCCTATCTCTTAGTCCAACATTACATTTCTTTGCCTTTTGGATTTGGAATGTCATTGTGTGGGTTGCAGGAGTCAATGAGAATTAAAGGATTTTTGAGAATGTTTTAGTAGATATTGGTGAAAGCCACAATCAAGAGAGAAGATCATAATTTAAGAACTGCTGTGAAGGAAAGTGAAGGCAGATGTGTAGATGGACACATATATACATATTAAGTGTGCATTTGTATATGTGAATGTCTAAAATTTAAAAAGTGAGAAGCTGATGCTGGTTGTCATAAATGAAAAGTAGGAATTGCAGGAGATGGCTGAAGGAAGCCGCATGATATAAAAGCAGAGAGTCTCAGGCCAGGAGGTAGAAGGCCAACGACCAGTCTTCAAATCAGTTGAGAACATATATGCAGTTGTTATTGTGCAATGGTAAAAAAATCAGTAGTAATTGAAAAAGCAGCCGTGTTCAGTAAGTGCTTTTGGTTTGTGTTTAGGGGGGAAAACTAGGTGTAGTTGTGTCATAATGTAGTTCTGTTCTAGCAACTAAGAGGGACATGAAACAGCAGCTGTGAAATCTGGACATTTTATAATTAGCCAGTCAGGGTATGTTGAACGGCAGAGTTTAAAAAGCTGCCTGGAAATTTTTCCTAGCTACCAATAATTGTGTGTGTGCGGGTTTCTAGAATTTTCGGGGCACTGAGGGCATTCCAGGGGATTTGGAAAAAATCTGCTAATATTTACCAAAAGGAAAAGTAAATGAAATGGCACATTTGGTTATGGGTGTATCAGTCTGGTGTTGATCTGATGCAAATATTGGAACAGGACTCAATGAAGAAAAATATTAAGAAAAGGAGTAAGAATAGTTAATTCCAGTCTTTGTAAAGGTGCAGAAACCGGAGATTGAAAACCAGGTACTCGTGTCTTCTGTGATGAGATTACCAGCTTGCTGATGAAGGTAAAATTAGTAAAGTAATAGACTGACTTCCATAAGATATCATGCTGCGCCACATTTTAATCAAGAAATTGGAACATGGAAATTAATATAACACATGATGAATAGATTCTCAAATGAGGTAATATGTCTATATCAAAATATAAATGGAAAGTTGTCAGTCCTTGTATCTGAGGAGTGCGAAACTGAAGATAATGTATATGAACCAATTTGTGTTTTGTGATACACCAACTATAAACAAAAAGTATGCATTCTAACACAGTGTAATGCAATGATTTCCAGTCCTTTGGCACCTGTGCTTCACCTGGGAATACCAACAGTGTCTCAGGCTTTGCTTTGCCTAGCTCCTTCTGCCACATAAAGCTGGGTACCTCCGGGGTTGCCATCATCTTCCCCACATGGACCCATCTAGCAAAGCCAAGAGCTACTTGGACAACTTTTGCACTCTACTGCATATTGCATCTGTTCTGGCACGGTGGCACTGTCCTGCCCGGCCTTGCAGGAAACAGGTTTGGTCTTAGCCCAAGTTGGTTCAATTGGTCTCTGTCTGACCTCTTATCAGTTTATAACTTCCCAGTGCTACCTGCCTCACCTGATAGGGAACCACTGGTCTAGTGTAAGGATACTTCGGAAAATAAAGAACATACAGAAAATTTTCTGAAGCAGCAATGATGTTATTTAAGGAAGGAAAAAAAAAAGACATTGAGCGTGAAAATAAATAAGCAGATTTGCAATGTTAGGGCAAAAGGGACTTTTGAGTCAATATATGATTTGGCCCTTTGATGCAGTCCTGTGTCAAGTTTGGATATCAGGATTTGAAGAAAAATGTTAGCAAGTTGAGGACAATAAAATTGTGATAACAATGGAGGGATTAGCAAATGATTAAATGAAATGTGAAGGAGGATCTTAAACAATCATTGTTTTCATGGTCTAAAAGAAACTACATTGCAAAATGATGCGATGGTAGATGGTCTTTCCATCCAGCAGATAATGAACTTGAATAACTGGAACTTAACATTAGACAAAGACAAAAGTGGCACATTATTCCTGACAGGATAATTAACTGTTGGAACAGTTCGGAGCGGGTTATGATGGGTTCTGTCCATCACTGCCAGCACTGAAATCGCGATGGCATGATTTAATCAAAAGACAAGATCTTGTTCATATAAGCATGAACTTAAGAAGTACACATCCTGTGTTATGCTGGGCATTGCAAAAGGCTGTTAACTATGACAGCTTTTCCTCTATAACAGCAGATGAATCACAGAATAAAACCATTTCTTGTGTCTTCTACAAAAATGAGTTTACTCATGCATGAATTCTCAGCAAGGCTATCAGGTAGGTTTTCAACCTCTGCACAGCAGGTGGCTACATTTATTTGTTCAGCTTCAGATAAATTTTGTGTAGAGGCCTTTTCCCTGCAATAGCAGTTAACCTGTAACCTAAAAGTTTACCTAAAGATTTAGTTATTTGGCACTTACAGTACGATTTGTAGATATGATTTATGGTTTGCTTTTTGACAGCAGTTTCTACTTCATAGCTTAAAGCCAAAATCAACTGAAACATGGTAGTTTTTATCTCTAATCTACACACTGATGTAATTAATGCTTTGTATTGTAAAAGAACAGATTAAAATTGAATTAGTAGGTATTTTAGGGTAAAGCACTCAGGAAAACAACTCATGTGTATGTGAAGTACAACTTTTAGAAATAGTACAACTTTTAGAAATTATACTGTATGTCTTTCAACACAACAGCTTTGCCCATCATGCCATGAGCGTGGGGGAAATTTATTTGACATATTGGTTAGGATTGTGAATGTGAGATTGAAAAAGGCACACAACTCCCACTTTCACTGCATTTTAATAAATTCTTAAGCAGCAGCTATATATGATGTGCCAGGTCCCTGTAA